CTGATTTTTCGCTAAACAATGATTCTAAAACAGCTGATCGGTGGCTCTAAAACGGCCGCCTGCTGTGCAAAATGGCTCCCCACTGTGCTTTAGGACGGATTCCTCCCTTTACAGGCACAGAAAATGGCCACCCCTATGGAGGATCTTCACTGGACGCTGAGGTATTTAGCCCATTGGAACGCATTGAACCAGTTTTCAATGCATTTCAATGGCTTTTTCATTTCACTTGACAAGTATTTCGCTTAACAGCAATTTCAATGGAACGAATTATCCTCGTCAAGCGAGGCACCACTGTACACATTTTTCCCAAAGGAAGGATTAATACTAATAAACGTGTCCTTAAATCTGCTCTGACTCATGGCAACCCTTCTAAGGGCTTTTCAGGAGGAGAACAGAAGTGACCTACCATTTCCTTCTTCTGGACCTAGAATGTTTTCTCCCTCTTTTGAATACAATGACATCCTTTCCTTGGGTGGCAATTTCATAAAAATAGAGCTACATTCTAGCAGGCTCCACTTTATGGTCTCTTTCGTGAACAACAATAAATGTACTTGAACCTGGGAAATCTGAACCAGCTCTCAGTTCAGGAGGTTGTACAGGGAGGGGTGTTCCTAAAATATCCACGTTCCAGGCTCTAGAGCATGTACTTGCCCCACAGTGATTTCACATGATATACCACTATTCCCACTCTTGTGGGACCTGAAAGACAACACGTTTTATCTGAAGTCAGTGACAATCCCCAAAAGTTTGTGCCAAATAAAACTTGGCTAACCTTACAAAATTCTTTCTTGGTTTTGCTGCAACAGACTAATATGGCTCCCCCATAGAAATTTCCACAGTCTTACTGACAGCAGCAAAAAAGAAAAAAAGAAGTTGTATATTATGCCACTGTACTTATTTTGTTTTTGCAATAGCCTCTGAGTAGCTGTCCACTGGGAAATTACATAAACACTGTTTAATCTTAATGCGTATAATATCTCAGTCACTGACAGTTGTTTTTCTTTCTTATAATGTCTAATCAACATTTTCTGGTCTACAGGAGTCACTGTATTTAAAAAGTTCTAACACCAACTTATTATTGTTGTTATCATTTAAGAATAACTGCATTATTTCAAACACTGTGAGTCTTATTAATTCCCTCCAATCAGGAGAAAGTCGGCCTATAAATTAGATAGATACCATTAAACATTATTATCTGACACTAAATGTCATCAGAATAAGATAAGAAGACGGATTGACTTAATACAGTGGACCCTTGACTTACAGACGGCTTGACTTACAGACTTTTTGAGCTACAGACTTCTCTGGCCGCAAAATTTAGGTTTGACTTGCAGCCTGAGAATTGACTTACAGACCAGAAAAAAACCAAAATGGAACAAAAACGACCTGTTACGGGATTAATCGGTTTTCAATGCACTGTAGGTCAATGGAGACTTGACTTACAGACTTTTTGACCTGAGAACCGCCTTCCAATACGGATTAAGTTCTCAAGTCAAGACCCCACTGTAAATGAAGCCACAGGCTTGAATCCCCAAGACCCAAGACCTTTTGAAGATCACAGTAGCAATTTGATAGCACCTAACAACACCACTGAAGTTTGGTAAGGTTCGCCATGGGCTGGAAAGGTGTTGCAAGCATAGCTGTACTACATAATAAAACTGAAGGCAAGCTGTGCCTTTGAGCCTGTGCAGAGTATATCATAGCTCAAACCTTGAAAAATACACTTTTTGAGAGACAACAACCCACAATCACCCAATCAGCATTGACCCTGTATTCCAAACACTTAACTTTTCTAAGTTCTGCCATATCTATTGTTCTCTAGTATGATCACGGATAATAGTACAACCCTCTGGGGTAGTAAATATTAATGATTGCAACGAGACTTCTTTCTCAGACTAAAGATTAAAAAGAATGAGCTGTGTGCCGGAAAAGTCACAGGTTCGAATCTCACCTATGTGGTTCTACCACAAACCCACTAGCCACGTATGAATAATCAAAATTGACACAGCTTGAAAAAGCACCATATCAAAACCTGTCCAATCAAAACCCAATATGATTATGAAGCAGTTGTATCACCACACAAATCCAAACACATCATTCCAAACAGCAATCGCAAAACGATGTTTAGGCGCTCAGAGATTTATCAGATGGGCGGGATATAAATCAAATAAATAAATAAATAAATAGGGAAATTTCGCTTGACGATGATCGGTTTCCAGCTTCGGGAACTGATTTTTCGCTAAACAATGATTCTAAAACAGCTGATCGGTGGCTCTAAAACGGCCGCCTGCTGTGCAAAATGGCTCCCCACTGTGCTTTAGGACGGATTCCTCCCTTTACAGGCACAGAAAATGGCCACCCCTATGGAGGATCTTCACTGGACGCTGAGGTATTTAGCCCATTGGAACGCATTGAACCAGTTTTCAATGCATTTCAATGGCTTTTTCATTTCACTTGACAAGTATTTCGCTTAACAGCAATTTCAATGGAACGAATTATCCTCGTCAAGCGAGGCACCACTGTACACATTTTTCCCAAAGGAAGGATTAATACTAATAAACGTGTCCTTAAATCTGCTCTGACTCATAGCAACCCTTCTAAGGGCTTTTCAGGAGGAGAACAGAAGTGACCTACCATTTCCTTCTTCTGGACCTAGAATGTTTTCTCCCTCTTTTGAATACAATGACATCCTTTCCTTGGGTGGCAATTTCATAAAAATAGAGCTACATTCTAGCAGGCTCCACTTTATGGTCTCTTTCGTGAACAACAATAAATGTACTTGAACCTGGGAAATCTGAACCAGCTCTCAGTTCAGGAGGTTGTACAGGGAGGGGTGTTCCTAAAATATCCACGTTCCAGGCTCTAGAGCATGTACTTGCCCCACAGTGATTTCACATGATATACCACTATTCCCACTCTTGTGGGACCTGAAAGACAACACGTTTTATCTGAAGTCAGTGACAATCCCCAAAAGTTTGTGCCAAATAAAACTTGGCTAACCTTACAAAATTCTTTCTTGGTTTTGCTGCAACAAACTAATATGGCTCCCCCATAGAAATTTCCACAGTCTTACTGACAGCAGCAAAAAAGAAAAAAAGAAGTTGTATATTATGCCACTGTACTTATTTTGTTTTTGCAATAGCCTCTGAGTAGCTGTCCACTGGGAAATTACATAAACACTGTTTAATCTTAATGCGTATAATATCTCAGTCACTGACAGTTGTTTTTCTTTCTTATAATGTCTAATCAACATTTTCTGGTCTACAGGAGTCACTGTATTTAAAAAGTTCTAACACCAACTTATTATTGTTGTTATCATTTAAGAATAACTGCATTATTTCAAACACTGTGAGTCTTATTAATTCCCTCCAATCAGGAGAAAGTCGGCCTATAAATTAGATAGATACCATTAAACATTATTATCTGACACTAAATGTCATCAGAATAAGATAAGAAGACGGATTGACTTAATACAGTGGACCCTTGACTTACAGACGGCTTGACTTACAGACTTTTTGAGCTACAGACTTCTCTGGCCGCAAAATTTAGGTTTGACTTGCAGCCTGAGAATTGACTTACAGACCAGAAAAAAACCAAAATGGAACAAAAACGACCTGTTACGGGATTAATCGGTTTTCAATGCACTGTAGGTCAATGGAGACTTGACTTATAGACTTTTTGACCTGAGAACCGCCTTCCAATACGGATTAAGTTCTCAAGTCAAGACCCCACTGTAAATGAAGCCACAGGCTTGAATCCCCAAGACCCAAGACCTTTTGAAGATCACAGTAGCAATTTGATAGCACCTAACAACACCACTGAAGTTTGGTAAGGTTCGCCATGGGCTGGAAAGGTGTTGCAAGCATAGCTGTACTACATAATAAAACTGAAGGCAAGCTGTGCCTTTGAGCCTGTGCAGAGTATATCATAGCTCAAACCTTGAAAAATACACTTTTTGAGAGACAACAACCCACAATCACCCAATCAGCATTGACCCTGTATTCCAAACACTTAACTTTTCTAAGTTCTGCCATATCTATTGTTCTCTAGTATGATCACGGATAATAGTACAACCCTCTGGGGTAGTAAATATTAATGATTGCAACGAGACTTCTTTCTCAGACTAAAGGTTAAAAAGAATGAGCTGTGTGCCGGAAAAGTCACAGGTTCGAATCTCACCTATGTGGTTCTACCACAAACCCACTAGCCACGTATGAATAATCCTGGCCTCCCCATAAACATTTTTGAGACAACGTAGGCAAAGTACTTTGAGCACTCGGAAAACAAATCCATAAGTGCACATAACCCCGAATGAATGGCCACCACAAAACTCCTACATGAACATGTATACAGGGAAGTGATCCCGGTGGGAAACGAAACATGTGCACCTGCGACGTTTTTGGAAATTGACCCTTTGAGCTTCGGGACGTCTCGTAAGTAGAAAGTCAACACACCCCGAGCCCGGGGAGGGGGGGACGACTTGCCAGAGGCTTCATTGTGCAACGCCCTACTTACTGCCTACCGCAGGGAAAACCAACCCCCCCACTGCTGAAATGGCCCCAGGATCACCGCTTCCTCACGTGCCAGGGGGATTCCCTTCCCCTAATCCGTGCCAAAGGGAGACTCCCTTTCCCCAACAGCTGGGTGTATGTAGGTGGGCAGAGATTCAGCTTTTGGGGAGGGGGAAGGACCCAGGCGTCCTGAACAGCAACTCACCCCCCCCCCCCGCGCGCGAGAGAGAGAACCCCGCTTGCGACATCAGCCGAGGCTTGCGATTCGCGCTGGCAGATTCGACTTCGGGTTGTGGGCGCTGGGTTTCTCCGGGCGTCTTAAGTCTCGACGGGACGGAGGCGGAGGGGATTTGATATTCCTCTGCGTTTACAGGCATACACACGCATATACCCCCAAAGGGAGAGGGAGCAGGAGGTCTGGCAAGGCTCGAGCCCCGGCCGTGGCGAAAGTGCGGTTGCCAAGGAGCCGCTTTACTCCAGCGGGGCCTCCCCGCGCAGGAGCGACTGCTGGTGCTGCCGCTGCCGCCGGAGCCGCCGCCGCCGCCGGAGCCTCCTCCTCCTCCATTGTCCGGGCCGCGCCGGCCTGGGGGGCCCATGGGCCCTTCCGCCCTGCAGCCTCGAAGCCACCGGCGGCCTGGGGCCTGAGCCGGGCTCGGTGAGACAGCGGGCGGGCAGGGAAGAGCTGCAACACGGCCTGGGATCCAAAGGCAGGCAGGGCTCTTCCCGCGGGAAAGGGGAAGGGAAAGGGGAGCCCCCCTCGCCCTTGTGGGGGGGCGGGCAGGAAGAAAGCAAGCAAGGGCAGGCTGGGGCAGGTTCAAGGGGGGGAGGTCGAGCCGTGTGCTGCTCTTTTGGGGGCCGGTGGGAAGAAGGCTTGCCCTCCGGTCCACCCCGCCGCCTTCCTTTCTCTCTCCCCCCCGACCCTTCCCGAGCCCCCCTTGCTCAAGATCCATGGCCCGGACAGACAGAGGGTGCCGAGGGAGGGTGTGATGGGAGCCAGTGTGACACCCCCCCGGTTGCTTCCCTCCACCCACCCAACCCCCAACCCCTTCCTTACAGCTACAGGCCCTATAGGGAGACAGGGCGAGGTCAACATTTTGTATGAACCACGGTTGTCACGTCTGGATTGACACCTCCCGTGTGTCTTCCCTCTCTCTCTTTCTCTTGCCCCATCGCTTCTCTCGCCTGCACCCGAAGGGAGGCCGAGAGGAGGCAGTTTGCGATCAGAGTCCCTGCCAACTTCCTCCTTTGCTTCCTCTCCCTGCAGCTCCCGGGCACACGTGGCTGGGCAAGTGTTGGGTTGACTTGAGTCAGGGGTGTGTGTGCAAGAGTGCAGGCTGGTTTCCTTTTGTCCGGTCTTGGGCCAGTTCTGCCTTGCTTGTTTCCTGAAGCTACAGAAGGTGGGAAAGAAGGCAGGCGATGTTTTAGGTAGCATCTTGGCTGCCCTCTGTGGCTTACTACATAGCTGCTGGTCCAGCCCTGGCCCTAGTGTGAGGTAGGTAGCGTGGGGTGTCTTTCTCAGGCAACAGATGCCAGAGTGAGGGTAGTGGCTACCCAGCCATTCCTTCAGAGCCCTTAGCCATTCATTGATGATGGAGCTGAACCTCCAACCCTGACACTAGCCTGCTGATCTCAGGTGTGAGGGGAGGATGCTGTCCTGTTGCCAGTGCTGAAGTAAAACTGAACTTTTAATCCAGCTGTCTTCTGTAGATGGAATGGAGGGGATTGTCACCTTGTCATTTGCCTCAGGCAGCAAAATGTCCTGGCCTCACCCTGTGCATTATAAAGATGTAACAAGGAAAGTGCGTAGGCTGACATATCTCCGTCATAGTTCTTGTTCACTCTCTCATTATTTCTATTTTCTGTAAAAACCACAAGTGTATATAGATGGCAAAAGTAGGGTGCCAAGTGGGAGGCTTGAAAACCCCTTCTTGTGGTCAAGACTCACTCTAAAACTAGTTGCATATTGTGGGATGAGAGAAGCATTGTAGAACCAGAGGTATAGGGTATTGAGTGGCATATCCGGTTTCCTGTCCTATCTTTCCTTGTTCCTATAATTTGCCTAAGCAGAGGATGCCCCAGAGATGAAGAGGTCATTGTAGGAGTTACTTAGTTTAGAGAAAAGTCTTGTGAGTTTATTGTTATCCTTCTTCACTTGTTTTCCCTCAGTTCCATGTTCCTCACAAATGTGAGTACTTCCACACTGAGGAGGGCAATGTGAGTTTAGCAGGAACAAGCAATAATGAGTGGTACGTACATATGTGTGTGTGCGCATGCATACACACTGTTGTTTTCACTCCCAGTACAATCTGATTCCTGTAATGCTGAGGGAGTCAGTGTCACATAGATTGCTTGACATACCTTGTATTAGTTATTTCCTCTGCAACTATCAGAACACTACGAGATGATAGGAGCAAAATACAGAGATATGCATTTGGAAGAACAAGATAATAAACTGGTATTCTGCTCCTTTCCATTTTTTCCCTATTCCCTCTTTATTTTTGTCTCTTGAGACTTGTGCCATTGAGTTGAGGGCCTTTTGATAGGGGCAAACCAGATTTCCTCTGTCTCTGTAAAAATGTGTCCTGTGATCAGTGAGGGGCCATCTGATGAGTGTGTAGAGTTCACATCAGCAAGAAGTGGTTGTGGACTGGCAAAGTCCTTCCCTCACTCCCACACTTAGTCACTGCTATTACTGACATGATCATTCTGTTACAAAAGGCCTGACCTCCTCCCTTTTACTTTTCACTTCCTTTGCCGTTAGTGGGGTACCACAGGATGAGTGGCAGGCTATAAGGTTTGCAGCAGGGTAATGTAGCCATATATGGGCATCCCCTCTTATTATTATTCTTCTTCCACTTGCCTATCCTGAAATACCTATTTCCTACATGACTGGTGAGATGTTGTGAGAGTTGCATCTGTAATAGGGTTTGTACGGCAGGGTCACAACCAGATATTTTTCTACCACTCTCCCACCTTTCCTCAACCTTAAAACCTGTTCCCTGCATGACTGTTCCTTGGAGAGAGAGCTGTATGTAAATGACAAGAGCCAGGCGTGGGGCAGGTGGCTTCTTCTCTTTTGTTGTAAATATTTACAACCCTTGTTTTAGTCCAGAGGCTCTCACAGATGCGTAGAGGTGTTTTTTTTAAAGCATCATCAGTAAATATGAAAGCAGTAGCATAGGTGTAATGTTAATAAAACAGATAACGCTCCAGCATCAAAATGGATCTGAAAATGTATATTGAAAAGAAAGGTGAATGGAAGTCCTTAACGAGTCCTGAAAAGCCTCAGAGCCAGCGCTAGGCAAACCGCTCAGGATGGTGTGTCTCTCGCCACTGGCATCCTACCCACTTCACTTCAGAAGGAGGTGGCCTTGAAGAATGGATGGCTTCCAAAGAAAGATGTTAGTCTTTGAGGCATTTGGATCCAAAGCCATGTGAGGCTTTGTCAGCTGATCACTGGAATCTTGAATTATGCCTGGAAAAAGAGGAGACTGGAGCCATTGTGTCAAAACTCCCAAGAGAATTTCTAAGAAATCTTCAAGGACATCCCCAATTACAATAGCATTACAGTGCAAATAGGAATTTGACCCCCAACTCCGGGAGGCAGTGGAAGACAGGAGGGCCTGGCGTGCTCTGGTCCATGCGGGTCACGAAGAGTCGAACACGACTTAACGACTAAACAACAAAGAGGATATTACCAGAACCTGGATAACAATGAGCAGGTTATCAGCCTATGTAGTTAAGGTGTAGAGGTACCTTGACTACTCTGGGTATGGCTAATATTGCCAAACTCGGACTCTTCCTGTCTCAGCCTGACAGCTGCTAAACATTTGGTGTTGGCATTCATGATAGCCATATGCTAGGCCATGAATAGATCATAAAAGTGAGAAGGATCCCTTGCCTTGAGAGCTTACAGTTTGCGTTTGGTGGAGGGATTTGTGAAAGGTGAAAGCGGCTTTACCCTTCACATGACAGCATTAATATCTATTGTGGTGACCATAGCATGAAGAGAAGATATACCACTCAAATTTGCTAGACCGATTCCAGAGAATTGGCATGAGGCTGTGGCTTACAGGCACATCCTGCTGCATGTTTGGCGTTGTGTGTCTTCCCTTCACAGTTTGCATATTCACAACAACAAAGGCAAATGTACCAGGTCTGTGTCATCGAAGATATTTCAGGGAGGCTGGGTTACAGTAGAGGTAGCAAAATGGAAAAAGCAAAACATGTTGCTTATATACTGTACTACCCCATGGCACTTAATGCACTCTCCGGGCAGTTTACAATTTAATTATGCAGATTATACATTGCACCCCCACCCATCCCTAGCAAGCTGCGTACTGTATTCAGTTTACTGATCTCAGAAAAATGAAAGTCTGAGTCAACCTTGAGCTGGTTATCTGGGATTAAAGTGGGTCATGAGCAGAGTTTTGACTGCAGTACTGTAGTTTAGCTGCTGTGCCACAAAGCTGCTACTCTACAGGCAACAGAGAACAAATAATATGAGGAGGTTTAGGAGAAGGAAACTTCTAGGAAGAAAGGGAAAGGGTTAGGCAAATGGCCAACCAAAGGATGTTCTGGTCTCTGCCTAGGCAAATGAACATATTGGAACATATTGTGAGCAGGATTTAGCTTCAATGGACTGACCTCCCTTCTCTACTTACTTATTTTACATATATTGCTGTTACACTTGTTGCTGATTGAATGGTTCAGCAGTAAAACAGAAGAGACAGGATGGAGAATTATGCTTGTTAAAGAATAATGGAAGTACTGCAATGTACACAGTTTTGTGCAACAATCTCTGATGTATATTGTGATGCCAGTGCCACCAGTCTGCAGTTTGAGACTGACATGCTGCCACCCCCACCCTGGTGTGTGCTTGTCTTTCAGATCTCTGTGTGCTTTATCAGTGGTTTCCAACCTCGGGGAACCCAGGTGTTCTTGGACTGCAACTCCCAGAAACCCCGTCTGGCACACTTTGTGGTGAAGGCTTCTGGGCAATGCAGTCCAAGAACATCTGGGTTGCCCAAGGTTGGGAACTACTGTATTCAATCAGTCTGGGAGTTGGGCAGATTCTTTTAACAAGCCGAGAGTCTGTTCTTTGAGGCTTGTATCTCCCCTCCCCTGTACAGACAATTTGGATCTGTTGAGCGAGGGGATTGGTTATTAGTCTTTGTGCAGTGTGCTAGCCTTCGCTTCCCTATTTGTTCATTCCTCTTCCTTATAGAGCTGGGAGGCACCATGGGGGTGGACTTCGATGTCAAGACTTTCTGCCACAACCTGCGGGCAACCAAGCCGCCCTACGAATGTCCGGTGGACACCTGTCGCAAAATCTACAAGAGCTACAGTGGGATTGAATATCACCTGTACCATTATGACCATGACAACCCACCACCTCCCCAGAGCACCCCACTGCGTAAGCACAAGAAGAAGGGCAGGCACGGCCGGGCGGCCAACAAGCAGTCGCCCAGCCCCTCCGAGACGTCACAGTCCCCGGGGCGTGAGGTCATGACCTATGCTCAGGCTCAGCGCATGGTGGAGGTGGACCTGCATGGCCGCGTGCACCGCATCAGCATTTTTGACAACTTGGACGTTGTGTCAGAGGACGACGAGGCCCCCGAGGAGGCCCCGGAGAACAACAGTAACAAGGAGAACACAGAAACCCCGTCCGTGGCCCCCAAAGCGGGCAAACACAAGAACAAGGAGAAGCGCAAGGACTCCAATCACCACCACCACAGTGCCTCTGCGGGCAACACACCTAAGCTTCCGGAGGCTGTATACCGTGAGCTGGACCAGGACACGCCCGATGCTCCGCCTCGCCCCACTTCCTATTACAGGTACGACTTGTGGTGTGTTGCCGGGGGAGGGGGGGAGCGAGACATCACGGAACTGGCTCAAAAGGCTTTGCGGAGTCATTTAATCGGAAGTATCTCAAGTGGAGGGGGAACCATCCGGATGTGCTTGAGACGAGTGCTGGTGCACCTTTTTATCCTTCTCTCTTGTAGAGTCTCTGCTGTCCACACCTTTCCCAGCTAGACAAGCGAGGCAGTCTGTATCCATAGGGCAAAGTGAAGAAATGAGCAGGAAGTCTCCCTCCCTGGGAAGAAAGCTTCTTCCAGTACTCCCATCCAGTGTTGACAGAAAGTGGAAAGAAAATACTGTGGCCTGCAGGTTGATTCTCCTTCCTCTGTCCCTCCACCCCCTGCCAAATCCTCCTGATTCAGAAAAGTACACTCTGTTGATCTCTGAAAACGTTTTTCTGATTGTCTGTCTGGCTTAGCCATCTGGAGTAGCAGAATTTTCTTAGACTGGAGTGGAGGAAAACTGGCCCTTTAAAGGTTGTTGGATTGCAATTGTGTCATTCTTTGTAACAAACTGTGTTAACTAGGGAGGATGGGAGTTGTAGTTTAACAATGTCTGGACGGCCACGTGACCTCCATCTCTGCCTTAGACAAGGGATGTTCATAGAGTGGCAAGGGAAGTCTTTTGCCTTATGTCAGGGTTAAGCATCAGGGGCCTCCAGATGTCTTGGGGGCAGGGAGACCAATCACTCCTAACTGCTGGCTAGGCTCGCTGGGGCTGTTGGCCATTAGAGTTCAAAAGCATCATGAGGGTTGTAGCTTTCACACACCGGAGTGAAGATGAGCAGAAATAAATGGGCTTGGATGGCACCAACGGCAGTGCTCAGCCTAGAGAAGAAGATAATTATGTCGCTGCTTAGCTTATACTAACTGGAAGAGAGCATCTCAGTCATCATATATATTTAAGATGGAATAACACGGGTTATAAGTAGTGTGTGGTTGCTCTAGGTCTATGGGCAGGTCTTAATATTTGGATACCAAGTACAGTACATGGCTAATCGGTATACTCCTACAATTGGAGGAGATTGTTTGTAATTTGTAAAGACCAGCATTCTGTATAGTTAAGACTAAGATTTTTATATAAATAAAATAAATAATTTTTTAAAAGTATGATCTGTATAACTATAAACCTATAAATATAAATAAACCTATAAATACAGTGGTGCCTCGCTTAACGAGCGCACCGTATAACAACGAAATCGCATAGTGATTAGGTTTTTGCGATCGCAAATGCGATTGCATACCGATGGCCCCTATGGGCAAAAATCGCTTTGCGAAGATCGGTAAGCATTTCGCTTACCGATCTTCGCAAAGCAATGCTGCGGATCAGCTGTTCGGCGGCTCCAAAATGGCCGCCGGAAGCCACGAAATGGCCACACATAGCGTTTTTGTGCCCTCCCCTCGCTTACCAAGGGCGCGAAAATGGCTGCCAGCTATGGAACAACTTCGCTGAACTGTGAGTTTTGGAGCCTATTGGAACGCATTGTTTAATGCGTTCCAATGGCTTTCCCCGTTTCGTACAGCGATGTTTCACCATAGCGACGGTTAATCCGGAACGGATTAACCTCGCTATGCGAGGCACCACTGTATATAGATTGATACAGATAGGTCGCTAGTGTAAGATAGCAAGTACAGTGATGAACTAGGACCAATTCCCGCCTGGCCGTGGAAACTCACTGAGGGAGGAGGACTAGTAACAAGTACAGTGATGCACTAGGACCAATTCCCGCTTGGCCATGGAAACTCACTGAGGGAGGAGGACTAGTAAATAATAATAACAATTTTGTGCTGTCAAGTCAATTCTAACCTTTTTGGCAATGCTTTTCAGGGTTTTCCAGGTATGGAATTTTTGGCAAATGCTTTTCAGGGTTTTCCAGGTATGGAATACTTTAGAAATGGTTTGCCATTCCCATCTTCTAGGGGCGCCCTGGGACTCTGCAGCTTGCCCAAGGCCACCCAGGCTGGCTGTGCTCTCAGGAGGCACGGTGCCGAATCGAACTCTCTACCTCTGGCTCCGCAGCCAGATACGTAAACCGCTGAGCCATCCAGTCAGCAGAACCAGTCAAAGCACTCCTTAAATATCTCACTTACTTGAAAGTAAGATATTACTTGAATGTGAGATATTTAAGGGTCACTATAAGTCAGGAAAGTAAGATATTACTTGAAAGTGAGATATTTAAGGGTCACTATAAGTCAGTTCTGACTAGATAGCACATAACGTACACTATATAGATGAGTGAAGCATGGAGCAGAGCTCAGGAAAAGCAAAATAAATAAATAAAAGAAATCGAAGTGTGCTGCTTATATACCATTCCCATAGCCCTTAAAGCACTTTCTGGGTGGTTTACAATTTAATTATGCAGGCTACACATTACCACCCATCCCCGCCAGCAAGCTGGGGCACTCAGGAGGACTACAAATCTCAAAATATTCCAGCCCAGACGTTGGCTGAGATATTCTGGGAGTTGTAGTCCAAAAAAGTAGCTTTTCTACTTCTCTGGTGCAGAGAAGCAGCAATGGTTGACAGAGCTATAGACTCTCCAGCATCTGCCTCCACGCTTGTTTTCTCAGGCCTAAGCCTGGAGGCAGATGCTGGCGCTGCTCAGTTGTCTTGAGCTGTCTTCAGTCCCTCCTGGCTGCTGAATCCATATTGTCTCCCCCACTTCCTTCCCAGATACATTGAGAAGTCCGCGGAAGAGCTGGATGAAGAAGTTGAGTACGACATGGATGAAGAAGATTATATCTGGCTGGACATCATGAATGAGCGGCGGAAGACGGAAGGGGTCAGCCCCATCCCCCAGGAGATCTTTGAGTACTTGATGGACCGGCTGGAGAAGGAGTCCTACTTTGAGAGCCACAACAAGGGCGACCCGAATGCCTTGGTGGACGAGGATGCCGTGTGCTGCATCTGCAACGACGGGGAGTGTCAGAACAGCAACGTCATCCTCTTTTGTGACATGTGCAACCTGGCCGTGCACCAGGAGTGCTATGGCGTCCCCTACATCCCCGAGGGCCAATGGCTCTGCCGCCGTTGCCTCCAGTCGCCCTCCCGGGCCGTGGACTGCGCCCTGTGTCCCAACAAAGGGGGCGCTTTCAAACAGACGGACGATGGGCGCTGGGCCCACGTGGTGTGCGCCCTCTGGATTCCTGAGGTCTGCTTCGCCAACACAGTCTTCCTGGAGCCCATTGACAGCATAGAGCACATCCCGCCCGCTCGCTGGAAGCTGACCTGCTACATCTGCAAGCAGCGAGGCTCGGGGGCCTGCATCCAGTGCCACAAGGCTAACTGCTACACGGCCTTCCACGTGACCTGCGCTCAGCAGGCTGTGCTCTACATGAAGATGGAGCCGGTCCGGGAGACGGGGGCCAACGGCACCTCCTTCAGTGTCCGCAAGACAGCTTACTGTGACATCCACACGCCGCCTGGCTCCATGCGCCGCCTGCCCACCCTCTCACACAGCGAAGGAGAGGAGGAGGAGGAGGAAGAGGAAGAGGATGGGAAAGGCTGGAGTTCAGAGAAGGTGAAGAAGGCCAAGGCCAAGTCCCGAATCAAAATGAAAAAGGCCAGGAAGATCCTGGCAGAGAAGAGAGCAGCTGCTCCAGTGGTGTCAGTGCCCTGCATTCCTCCCCACAGGTAGGGGCTCCCTCTGTCCCCAGGCTGTTACTCGAGATTCCTGACATTGCCAAGAGTGGCAGATCTTCCAGATCCCTCTTTTGGACTACAATTCCCAGAAGTTTCTGGGAGTTGTAATCTAAGCAGGTGACTTATCCAAACTCTGTAAGTTTCCTTCTCGCCAACAACGGCTGAAATCCTGTTTGCAGTTAGGCAAATGGCACAATTTTTAGACACGAATTGCTGTAAGTTAAGACAACTTCATTGGCACTACGTGTTGCAATCCAAGTCACATAACTCAGTACGCAACGGATGATGACTACAGAGGTTTCTTAGTTTATGGCAATTCGCTTCTGAGAGTTACTCTGTTTGTACAACTGCGTAAGAGGATGTCAGCCACTGTGTTTGTCCTCAGCAGCATCTTGGGAGAGCAGGAGGAGGTTTTAGGCAGGCAAGTCTGTAGAGCTTAGCTTGAGAATTCCAAGTTCATTGGCCTTGAGGGCAGGAGTAAACATTTCAAGCACTGCAGATATCAATCCCAAAACTTGCATATACAGTAAACTGGTTTGGGTTTATTTAAAAAAAAACACAACAATGTCACCTAATACAGACGGCTTTGAGTATTTGTGAAGACATTGTTAAGGGCAAGCCTACATGTTTGTTTATCCCATTCATGTCCCACCATGGAGAATGTTCCATTATACTGGAGACACTTTCTCGGCTGTAGTGCTGCAGTTATGGAACTCTCTCGCCAGCTGAGTCCTTAGGGACTCAATTGGCACTGACACTAACCTGATTTTGGCACCAACTTAAAACATAATCATCCACCAAAGCCTTCTGGGATTAAGGATCATGGTTTTAAGATGGAGGGTCCTCTACTGTTGTTGTTTTAATTTTGCAGTTTCGGAATGGTTTTGAATGGGTTTAAGATAGTCAGTTGTTTTACATTTTAATTGTTGTACTCTGCCCTGAGATCTCGGGACATAGAGCGGAATATAAATGTCTTGAATAAACAGATAAATACATCTTCTGTCTTGCCGGGGACTTGGTGGCATAGTGCTTTTCTAAATAAGCTATGAGATTTGGTAGGCTGAGGAGGACTTGCCTAACTGGGGTTTGAGTATGGCAGGCATCTGAAGGTTTCCTCAGTGCTGTAACCCAGGAGTTGGCATGCTCTGGCCTTCAGAGGCTGTTGGATGGCAGTCGCTGTTAACCCTGACCACTGCCTGCTTTTTTTTAAACCATTTGGGCTGTGTTCTGTGAAGTAATGCATATAATATACAGTATAAGATTTCTCTTACTCCTTTCCCTGTGAAAGGCTTTACATTTTACTTTTGTGGCAACCTGGATTACCACCCTGGAGCCAAGTCTGCAGCAAACCACCTTGATGACACTGTGTATTCCCATTCAACCATCTCCTGTCTTCCTTCTTCCTCCCCCCCCCCACTTTCCCTCACTGGCTTACTTCTTGAGTATTATTCCCTGACCCCTGCCGTTTTCTTTCTTCTCTCAATCCCTTCTGCTTTCTTGCTGCCATGCTTGCTTGCTGGGCACTCCTGTCCAATTTTTCTAAGTGCCATTTTGCACTGGTGATCACAGTGGCCATAAAAGATGAGTTTTGGACACTGGAGGTATTAACTACAGTGGGGTCTTGACTTAAGAACGGCTCGAGTTAAGAACATTTTGACTTAAGAACCACTCTCATAGGAAAATATTGACTTGACTTACA